TTTTAATTTTTAAACTTTTAAAATTAAATTATCACCATTTTAAAGTTTAAGCATTACTCTTATAAATATTTTATTTTCGCCATAACTCAGACGGATTTCGTTAGCCTAAGACTGAAAATTTTCAAATCTTCAAATTTAGGACTAAATTCTCTGTAACATAACGTGAGAGAGGTTTAAAGCTTTCAAACTTTAATTATACGCACATTACCATCCTTCCCTTCTTTAGCCAGCTGTCATCACACGCAGAACCGTAGCAGCCCTTTACTATATATACCGAGGGCTAGACTCTCCTTTCCCAAACCAACACTTACTCTCAGAGAAATTTAGTCGAACATCTTTTGTGCATGGCTCGTTTCACTATTTTCTCCTCTCTTTTGCTAATTTCCTTTCTGGGTTTGGCCCTTAGCCACTGCTTAGCCACCAGGAAACTCTCAGCTCTTGTTAAACAACAGCCGGTTGTCCTCAATTACCATAATGGTACGGTGCTTAAGGGCAATATCACTGTTTATCTTGTCTGGTATGGCAAGTTCTCCCCTGCTCAACGTTCGATAATTGTTGACTTTCTCAACTCCCTCAGCCCGGCCAAGACGGCGCTACCGTCAGTGTCGTCGTGGTGGCAAACCACTGGGAAGTACAAAGGAGGTCCACGCACTGTCGTCGTTGGGAATCAAGTGCTAGATGAGAAGTACTCTTTGGGGAAGACACTCAAGTCCCCGCAGATTCAAGCTCTGGCTTCGAAAGCTGGGAACGGAGCTAATGCGATTAGCGTTTTGTTGACTGCTGCTGATGTGGCGGTTGACGGCTTCTGTATGAGCAGGTGCGGGACCCATGGATCGGGTGGGGTCAAGGGGAGCAAGTTCGCCTACGCTTGGGTTGGTGACTCGATGAGTCAATGTCCGGGTCAGTGCGCCTGGCCGTTTCACCAGCCAATTTACGGACCGCAGACTCCGCCATTGGTTTCACCAAACGGCGACGTTGGCGTCGACGGGATGGTCATCAACTTGGCTACCGTTTTAGCGGGAACAGTTACGAATCCGTTCAACAACGGATACTTCCAAGGCCCAGCCGAGGCGCCATTGGAGGCCGTGAGTGCGTGCACTGGCATATTCGGGAAAGGCGCGTACCCAGGATATCCTGGAAAGCTTTTGGTGGAGAAAACCACCGGAGCTAGCTACAATGCCAACGGCGTTAACGGGCGCAAGTATTTGCTGCCGGCAATGTGGGATCCACAAACATCCACGTGCAAGACGGTCGTGTGAGCATATATAAATAAATAAATATTTTTTTATGCTGTTGTGTGAGACTGTGAGCATATAGAAATATATTTTTTTATGTTGTCGTGTGAGCAACAAAGGAAGAGTATGTACCATAAATAAGTATGTTTATAGAGAAGGTGTAGAATTGTATAATATTCCGATACTTGATAGTTGAGAAATGGTGTGTTTTATCAAAATTTTCTTAATAAAAATAAAAATGTTGGAAGCATTTGATCATTTCTATACCAATAAATAAACATTTGGTCATTTACATTCTACGTGCCATGAGTGGCTACTTGCTACTTAAAAGGACAGCTCATTGTTTGCACTTTCATGTCTCGGATTCAATATCCCCCACTAATACTTCTAACATACTAATTTTTAACCATTTTCCTTATCAAAAAAAAAAAAAAAACATTTGATCATTTATTCACATCAAGAGATAAATATAATATTCATAACATTTAGATAAACTTTCAAATAAAAAAATCAATCATAGAATTACATATTTTTTAATCAAAAAATAGAGCCTTCTATTAATAAGGAAAAAAAATTACATGAATCTCTATATTGCAGCACTTGAAGCCAAAAATTAAAACTATAACTTATAGCATTAAACATAGATGAAAACTATATTCATAATAGATGAGGACAATTAAGGGTAAAGAGTCACTTATATCTAAAAATTGCATAATAATTGCTATAGTGACTTATACAATGCTACAAAATAGAAAGCAAGTTCATGTGAATGTTCGAATTTGCTAAACATTTCTCAACTGTCATGTCAAGCTTTAGGGAGAGCAAAGATATCAACTATCGACAGTCCCCAATCCACAGTTGTCCTATAAGTGAAAGGGTTAACTAGTGGGAGGCTCAATACCTCCCATCCCTAATCACCAAAGCCACTCTAGAGTTGTCCACCATTACCTTAGAAGCTTTCTCTACGTCCAACTCTCTTGTCGAGTCCTTCCTCTTCCCTTTTGCATCTTTTGTACTAGGAGAAATAGGATGATTTCTTGGTATTCTTTTCCATTTACCTTGAGAAACTCTACCTTCTATATCCTACTTTTCACCATTTATTGGAGACCCATTGCCAATCATCGAAAGACACATTAACTAAATTCATGTTCAAAATTTGATCTTGGTTACCATGCATGTATAAGAATAGGATTGGTTTTTTCTGTGTCATTCAAATTATTATTGTTTGATGCATTCTCATCCCTAATAACCGAATCCTCTTTTTAATCCTTTTGTTTTTAAAAGGCCATTGCACTCTTGGAAAAGGCTTCTTGCTCTATCCCTTTGCTAAGCACATTCACAGGAGCATTAGGTATTGAAAATTCCTCCAAGTCATCAATATTAGTTGGGCACCATAGATTTTCCAATTCAGCTTTCAACCAAGGACCAAATCATTACATAACTTTCCCTCCAACTTCTTTAATTTGAATAGCTATCTCACAATCCTGCTCAAGATGTCCAATTCAGCCACAAACATGACAAAACTTTGAAAGTCTTTCACATTTAAGTCTTAGCTTCTAGATTTCTATTAAAGTAATTTGGGTTGACTTTAAACACCTCAAAGATTGTTTTACTTTTAATGAAATTTGAACCCTTAAGGCTTTATAAAATTTTTCATCCACATCTAAAACCTCACCAATAGTGCTGCCAACCAAACGCCCAACTCTCTCTAATCAAAGACCAATTAGGACATCAAGGATATGAACCCAAAATGGACAAGATGGGAAATCACATTGTTTAGGAGTGAGATTAGCTTGGAATTTTTTTCAATATAATCAATGAATTACTAAAATTCCAGGGGACTTTGTAAAGAACTTTGTTCATGTCACACTAATTATCAAATTGAAGTAAATAGATTCTATCTCCAACTTCTGTAATTCAAAGACTCTCCTTCATGTTCCATGAGGCAAACATAGCATTCTGGAATTCATTTAGGTTTAATCTTCTATACAACACCTTAGAGTTTGTGAATCGCAAATTGCTTAATTTTTGGACTATTGCAACATGTTGGTATAATTATAAATTGTTAATATCATATATCATTTATATTATTTTTTAAGTGATTTTAAGTGTGAACTTCCCTCCCCTCTCCTCAAACCAAAAATACTAGAAGACATGCTTCTCCACTAAATAAATGGACAAGCTCCAACAAAAATAGTCCATAATCCATACCATAAACAAGTTCGGGCCTGGTTTGGATATGAATTTCCAAACTCTAAAGTCCATAAATTGGGCCTTTACCAAATAGTGAAAGCCCGCCCAAGTTCAAATTTTATCGTCCATACCCAAATTCAAATTAGATCACCAGCCCAATACCCAAATACTCTTATTTCCTTCTCAGAAACCCTTCGTCAACGAGCATCTTCTTCCTCAACCGCTACCTTGCTCTGAAATGGAATCGTCGCCGCCACCAGCACAATCACCCAAATCTCCTTCGTCTCCTTCCACTACCACTTCCTCCACCGGTACCTGCTGCAACTGTGGAGGCCCTACCTCGTTCGCGCCACCTCCCCAGTCCCCTACTGGTTGGCCGGAACTGTCGCCTCCCCCAAACTACAGGCCAGTCCGGGCACCAGCTATTAACCTTCCTCCTAATAACAACTCCCAAGCGATCATCCTTGCTCCTGTGCCTCAATCCCAAAAGGTCCCAACCATTTCTCCTCCTTTCCTCTTCCAATCACCTTCCAAGAAAATCCACTCCCCCGATGACATTCGCGCGTTTCATGAATCGGAAACATGCAAGAATTTCCTCGGTTTCGTTGTCGCCCTCTCAGAATCAATTCGCGGTCGAAAGATCTCCGATCCGTGCCACGAATCCTCCACCACCACTAAAATCGCCTCCATCCTCGAAACCTTAATCCACTGGATCGACGAAATTCCTCCGGTTCAACAATCGTCTCGCTACGGTAACATCTCCTACAGAACTTGGCACGAGCGGCTGATCGAAAACAGCGATTCCCTTATGCTTCAGTTCCTCCCTGATGAGCTCAAGCTTTCAACCGTCGAAATCGTCCCTTATTTCACTGACAGTTTCGGCAATTCAAGCAGGATTGACTACGGTACAGGCCACGAGACCAATTTCGCAGCGTGGTTGTATTGCTTGGCGAGGATGGGGATTCTCAAGGAGGAGGATTACCAGGCTGTTGTGGCTAGGGTTTTTATGAAGTATCTGGAACTCATGAGGAAGCTGCAGCTTGTATATTGCTTGGAGCCAGCAGGGTCTCATGGTGTTTGGGGGCTGGACGACTATCATTTCTTGCCATTTATATTTGGTAGTTCTCAGTTGATCGATCACAAGTACATGAAACCGAAATCAATTCATAATCAGGATATTCTGGAAAATTTCTCCAATGAGTATATGTATATATCTTGCATTGCCTTTATAAAGAAGGTGAAAAAGGGTCTCTTTGCTGAACATTCACCATTGTTGGATGATATTAGCGGGGTGCCCACTTGGAATAAGGTGAATAGCGGGTTGCTTAAAATGTATAAGGTGGAGGTGCTGGAGAAGGTTCCTATCATGCAGCATTTCCTGTTTGGATGGCTCATCAAGTGGTATGCTTCTTTCATTTATCCTTCTTGATATTGTGCACTGAGTTTTACTTTGATTTGGGTCTGTGTTTCTTGAAAATTTTGCTTCATTATTTAATTTCCTGTTTGTGGCATTGCATTTGTTGTTCTTTGATATAAATTGAGTTAGTTGATTACCCCATGGCATTGAATGTAATGGAAAACTTTTTACTTAGCTTGCAATAAACTTCTTATTTACTTGGCTGAGGCCTTTCAAGCTAATGTCACTATGCTATCAAGGTTTGAATAACTCATTGACTGAGCCTTCATTCTACGTATACTTTGAAGTGCATTTCATTTGGTATTAGGATGGTGTTGTCACTTAGAAAGTAAAAAACAGCTCCGCAATACCACAATGCCAAAACCTCCACTATAGAGTTTTGAACTCCCTAAGGTAGTACCATTCAGAACATTAAGCATTAGGATAGTTTAGAACTGGCGGAACTTTTGTTGGGGTAATAGGTTTCTTATTGCATATAATTTCCATGCTTGTTTTTCATTTGGTGGTTGTTTTTATTAATATCCTCACTGTTTTTTTGGCCGTCATATTTTCTTTCCTTATTTCGGGACATTAAGTTATTTATTCTTTCATCTGAACAACTACCACTGTATTTGTTGTTTTGTGTCTTAATTTCATTGCATATCCTACCAATAAGTATTTATTTTGTAAGTACTTCTGGTTCTGGTAACTGTCCTCTGAAAATTCATGCAGTTTCCCTTTATGTTGCAATTTATTGAATTTAGGATCAAATGCACCATCTATTGAGACACCATTGTGCAACTGATCCAATTAAATTGAAAACAAATTTTAGGACCATATAGGATCTGGTGTTGGAGAATTAGTTGAGGCCTTTGTGTCTATAAGCCATGCAACTAGATCTGGTTTTTGATTTTGTACATGCCATTTTGTTGCCTAATGGCTTTCATTAAAGAAGTAGGACCATACAGATCTGGTGATGAACAATTAGTTCGGGCCTGGTGTCTATACTCTAGGCTATGCCTTTGTGTGCCATTATGTTGCCCAATGTGCCTCATTTACCCTTTTTTTTTAAAATAATCCATCTTTTTCCTTCTTTTTTTTTTTTTTTTGGGTGTCACAGGGAATAGTTTGATCTATAACTGTATTGGGAAACAATGTGCGCTGCGGCACCAGGAGATTTCAATTTTGCCAAGTTTCATGAACAGTTAAGTACCAGTATGTTTGGGATTTAACACCATGCCACCATAAATTAATTTGAGTATTTTCTTTTTCCTCCTTTCAACCCTGTTCGTGCCAATTAACTTAATGCACATGCATTATTAGGTTACTGCCTGCTTGTTAATGTTTGGTATGAGAAACATTTAATGTTTATGTACAGCAGGCTATGGCGAAGTTCCTTTGGGAAGGCTGACAGAACCTTAGGTTAGAAATTATTTCCGCATTAACATGTAACAGTAAACTTAAAAAATTTTGCCTTGTTTATTATGTTTTGGATTGATGGGTTTTAAAACTGCAAATGGGGTGGTGCTCTTCAAAGTATCCATATGGCTTCCTTTTCTGTTCCATACATTATTCTTCTCTTCCTATTTATCTGATTTTTCTTCTTCGTTTTTGGTAGAAATCTGATTTTTCTTTTCTTTAAGTGTTCTTAAAAGCACCATGCACGATACCTTTCAGAGAGAAGATCAGAAAAGTACAACTTAAAAAATAGAGAAGGGCATGGAATGTTGTACTATTTTTATTTAATTAAATTTAAAATTTTTGGTCTTTTTTTATTTTTTATTTTTTAGGAGTGTGGTGCAGATCTATGGGGTCACAGGAATAATAGTACTGAGTTCAGTGTCAAAAACGTCTTTTAC